ACAACTATTATACCTACAAATCTCAAACTTTTTGGGCTCAGCATTCCTTTTTATTCTTAAAAATAAGGACTCCAAGGAGGTGTTTTCAATACAGGTTATTGTGAATATTTACTGTGTTGAAAATTAAAATCATAAAATTAAAAAAATACTAAATTCATGTAAAAAATGACATGTTAACAGAAGTGTCAATCTTAAATATTTTTATAGCATTTGATTAAAATAACTTATTTTCAAAAATTGTTGGCGTACTGATACTTAACATTTATGTAAATCTTGTTAATGTCTGGCTTTATAGAAGTCTTGGCTTCTACATTCTGTCTTTTATAGTATGTCATTTTGATTGAAGTAAATGAAGAAAATCTGGCCTTACAAAAATATGTAGCTGGAAAAGATTCCGAAGTGTCTCACACAGTTCAACAGAATTTCTGATATAAAATTCTGAACCAGTTTGAGGGGAAAAAAAGAACAGATGGTTTACCCATTAAACTTCTATCAGAATTTTGTTAATATACAGTTATGCAGAGCTTCCTTAAAAAGTTAAAAAAATAGTTAAAACATCAAATGTAATAGAAGCTTTTATATTTATACCATTTCATCTAGTCTGCATAATCCATATATTTTAATCAGGCTTTGAAAATATTAATTTTCCCATTTAGCATACTTTCTTAAACTATTTCTCCATTGATCAATAACAGGAAGACAAATTTCCATTTTTGAAACTGAATTCAACCCTCATGAATTCCCTAATTTAGTATAAGTCACACTCATGAGAACATGTTCAACCTAAGACACAAACTAAGAAAATACAGTTACAAAGTTAACATAAATATTAAATTCCATGAGTCATCTTGGAGAAATAGCTGATTCTAATTCAGGGGCAGGGAAAGGAGATAATCCTGGAATAGTTCTATACTATTGGAAAGCAAGGAAGTGGTCAAAAACAGCACACAAGCATGTCAAACAACACACGAGCAACCCTGAAAGAGTTCCTAATGCCACAATTGGAACAAATTGAGCAATAAAATGATTTAATAGTAGATTCTAACCCAAAGTAAGACATTAGTCTATAATGATGTAAAATAGTAGACTGGGGGAGAAGAGATAAAGCTACCGGTTTTGAACTCTAATAGTGTGGAAAATGAGAACTTGTTCTTGAGCTACAAGTTAAAAAAAAACAAGTGTTTCATAATTTCAAATAGTCCCTAGAAAGAATAGGTGATATTCATAATTCTCAAAGTTCCATTTGCAGGAATTAATTATACAAACACCTACCATTTCAATATATGTGTGTGTATAAATTATATATATATAAAACAGTCACAAGATTTTCCAAAGACAAAGTATTATTTTGTCTCATCCAACAACCCTTTACTAGATACCCTACCAAATAACCTCATCTCATTAAACCAGGGGGATATCTATGAGCTCTTCCTTTATAGACACAGCTCAAAAATTCTAATTTCCTAATTTTGTAGTGGCTACATAGAATAAAATGGAGTCTGGAACTCTAATGTGGTTTACAAGTTTCAAGTTAATAGATGCTAAGTATCATAGCTCATGATAAAGTTTTAATAGAGAGATGTACTGAACCAAGTCAACTCTTTTCTCTTTCTCTGGCAAATAATTACAAACAAAAGTATGTCCTTAAAAAGATAATTCTGGTAAACTAAAAATGTATGCATTTCATGGGGTAAACACAAATCCAGTATTTTTTTGTAAAGTCAGACACTTTCAGTTTGAATCTTTAGTCATCTTTAAAAAGAAAAGCTTTAATTAAGGGACCTCCCTGGTGGTGCAGTGGTTGAATGATGGTGCAGTGGTTGAATGATGGGTTGCAAAGCTGCCCGCTGCCTCTGCAGCGCCGGTTCGATCCCTGGCTGCTCCCGGCCACAGGAGGAGGGTCCCACATGGCGCGCAGACCTCTCCTGCTGCCTGCTGCTCCCCTCAGCAGTGTACTTCGATCCTTCTGCCTGCTCTGCTCCCTGCTCTGGCTCTGGTGAATTCTCTCACCCTCCCGCGCTTCTGACTGTACCCAATGCTTATATGAATAAATAAATAAATCTTAAAAAAAAAAAAGAAAAGCTTTAAAAATGTATTACTTAAAACTGTATAAAACTAAGTTATTTAAGGAAAAAACAAAGATACCCAATCTGCCTTTAGTACTCTATCTAATGAAAGACTTCCTGTTAACAGCAGGATTTCTTCCTTTGGCACATACAGTAAGTGCTTGACTGGTATGTTAGTCAAAACGTTAAAGGTCAAATTTCACAGCCAACACCAAAACTTGCTACGCCTTAAAACCATTTAAGATATTTTACAACTTGTTTTTGTGTTTCTGCTAAATATAATTAAGATGAAGTTAACTCTTTAGATGAGGTGTTTCCTGAAAGTCTATGTACTAACTGCCAGGTATTAATATGCTCATTAGGCCATTATAAAACCATTTTCTTCCACACCTTTTTATGGTTATTAATTAGAAGCAGTAATCAATTTTTAAAGCTCATGAAAATAAATGTATCTATAGCACATCCTCAACCTCCCATAAGCTCTCTCTCTCCTTTCCACTCATTCAAATTTCTTGAACTCTATCCAGCATAAATCTTCAAAATATAGTGTTGAGTCTTTTCAAGATGAAGTCAAGAAACTTCCAGCTATTTAGAATTTTCCCTTCTGGAAATGAGTTAGACTTTTCTGTTTGATTAATAATTAGTTATTAATTTTCCCTGCCACTTGAACAAAGAAGTTGGAAAAGTTTGATGACTTTTTCAAAGACATATTGTTTTTTCCTAAAAGATAAATCACTTTTAGGATGTAAACTATTCAGTAAAATTTCTCAAGCAGGTAGCACTGCTGTCATAAAAGCACATTTTATTTTTTTTAAATGACATTCTTTTATTAGAAAAAGTATTCAATTAGCCTGTATTTTATTTCTAAGTCAGGAGTGGGAAGTTGTTTTATAGTCTACTGAAAGTATAACAGGCTATCAGTGATGTTATATAAATATATATGGGAAAGGTGGGTGCAAAAACTAACAAACTGTGTTAGTGGGGAATTAAGATATTATTCCTGCTACCCCTCAGCTACCAAACGCCACACTTGAAATCTCTAAACTCATTCATTTATTCAACCATTTATCTTTGGAGCCCCTTCTATGTAGCAAGGTGAAATACTAATTCTGTTTGACTCCTCTCATTCCCTCATTCCTAAAACCTCATTAAGTGGTTAAGTCCCTTCAAAACAGATGTATTCTACTTCTGCCCTTTCTGAATGTCCCCAGTCTGGGTCACAACCTCAATAACTTTTTAAAATATTGACCACTTCTAAGTAAAAATTAATTAAATACTAACCACTAAACATGCATCAAATGTAAAATTATGGAGTCAATAAAACTACTCATAGTGTCTAACATTAAAAAACTAAAGTTTTTCAGGAAAAACAAAAAACAGGAATACACAACTGTACAAATGCAAGTATAAAAGAATCTATCAAGGAAAAGGATAAAGCAAACAGTTAAAATACTAAGAATCATCAGTTAAGAAGGGTATTTTGCATTTTGCAAATTTCCTATAATAACCAGATATTACTTTAAAAGAAAATATAAATGGTCTTTATTTTAAATCAGGTTTATTTTATTTTATTTTAAAGAGGCATGTATTTTTATTTATGATTTATTTATTTGTTTGTTTGTTTTGTTTATACATGCGCTGGGTACAGTCAGAAGCGCGGGAGGGTGAGAGAATTCACCAGAGCCAGAGCAGGGAGCAGAGCAGGCAGATGGACCGAAGTACACTGCTGAGGTGAGCAGCGGGCGGCAGGAGAGGTCTGCGCGCCATGTGGGACCCTCCTCCGGTGGCCGGGGAGTAGCCGGGGATCAAACCGGCGCCGCAGAGGCCGCGGGCAGCTTCGCAACCCAGCGCACAACCGCTGCACCACCGGGGAGGCCCAAATGGTCTTTATTTTAAAAACTTCCTATTCTGGCTGGATAACAAACTATTTCTGAGATTCAAAAGTAAACAATATTAGAAATAATCAAAATCAATACTTATGCAATTGTCTGAATCCTTTAATCTATAAATTCTTTATAAACCAAAAAGGGACACTGCCATTCTCATTACAGTATTTCTATATGCCTAGAAACCTCTCCTCTTCAATGTGCCAATGAGACACCAAAGTCAGCTTTTGTAAAATAAACTACTCACCCACTATTCCCCAATTTTCAAAAAATTGTTTTTTCGTTTTTTTTTTTTGTGGGACCCTCGCCGGTGGCGGGGGATCGAACTGGTGCTGCAGAGGTTGCTGGCAGCCTCGCAAACGAGCGCTCAACCACTGCGCCACCAGGAGAGGCCTCAATTTTCAAAATTTTAATGACTTCTTTCAATTGTTCTAAAACTGATGGTTTCATTTTTTCTTCAAAAGCATCACAGATTTGTCCTTTCCTTTCCAAAACCATTAGTACCTGCACATTTTCTTTTTGTAGGAATCTATCTTGAGTATGCTCAACACACAATGAATCATTTGATAGTAAGCTTTTTTGAGCTACAAAGTTTTGTTCAGAGAAGCAGTGCAGGTTCTAGCTAAGTAATGTAGTTTGCCCATCACCACCTACCATGCCAAATTCTTGCTGTCTTTCCTTTTTCAGGTTTAAGTTGTTTCTCTGAAACCCTAACTTCCCCATACAACGAAACCTAAACCTAAATTCAATTCAACCATAGCCATTAAATTCTGCAGGTGTTCAAGGTTCATAGTTATAACAGTCTAAAGAGCCTTAAGATAAGTACCAACTTTCTATAACAGGAGTTAATAAATTAAAGGGACACAAGTTCTTTCATTCACTCTAGGTAACTATTGGAAAGTTGGCACAGCAAGACAGACAAAAGGGAAAAGTATTTCTGTTAGGAGTATTTGTTGATTTTCCAAGAAAATCAAGAAATGAACATCTTTTTAATTAAATGTTATAAACCTAAATATAAGCTAATATATTATTTATAATTTTAAATTACCTGAGGCTTGCCTCCCCTGATTTTGTGGTATTCTTTGGAAAAGATCGTGATTGTATTCAAAATATCTATAGTCTTCATGAGCACGATCTCCAAGTGGACGTCTTCTCTGACCGTCAAAATAATTATCTGAATAATAATATCGGGAACCAGAGTCTCCATTTTCAACAGCAAAATTAACTTCTGATAAAAATGACTGGGAAGAGCCATATTCCCGAGGGACATCTGTTAGACTCCTGGCAAGATAAGAAGGTGCAGATAATCTGTTGCTTTCTCTTCTCATTATTTCATGAGGTGTTCTTTGAATTGGAGTCCTAAGGAAACTCTGGTTTCTTGAACCTATTCCCTCTCCAGAAGCTGAAAAGGCATTAGGGTTTGAATCTGGAAGACAAATATCAGTTCGTCTTGGAATTGTTGGACCGTGCCGGATGAATGAAGGCATGAGATCTATAAAAGAACAAAAAGTAAAATGACCATTTCTATAAATTCTATAATACTTTTCAAAAGTTTTTCATTTACCTCCATCACAGGAACATGCAAAATTTCAACAAACTTAAGAAAGCACAATTTAAGTGTTTTAAAATAGTATTTTAAAAGTGAGGCTGGGGGCCTTCCCGGTGGCGCAGCGGTTGAGCGCTGGGTTGCGAAGCTGCGCGCGGCCTCTGCGGCGCCGGTTCGATCCCCGGCTGCTCCCCGGCCACCAGAGGAGGGTCCCACATGGCGCGCAGACCTCTCCTGCCGCCCGCTGCTCCCCTCAGCAGTGTACTTCGTTCCTTCTGCCTGCTCTGCTCCCCGCTCTGGCTCTGGTGAATTCTCTCGCCCTCCCGCGCTTCTGACTGTACCCAGTGCATGTATAAACAAAACAAAGAAACCAGCAAACAAATAAATAAAGCATGCCTCTATAAAAAAAAAATAAAAGTGAGGCTGATTAATATTTCCCCATTCAAATGCCTTTATACCTTGCATGAATGTGCTATTTGTAAGCCAGAATCAAATGTATTCTGCATATTACCAGACATTAATGTTAGGAAATGTCAATAAGCTTAATTAAGAATTACATATTAATGAATACTCAAGAGTAAATGTATAGAAATAACCATCTATCAAATGAATAGTTACCTGTATAATTGATTATAAAGAGTATAGTCTGTTTTGTTAATTTCACTCCATTTTCAAAATTGTCAAAAATCCTTTTCAAGCAAACAATTTGAAAGAAAAAACAGAATATAATACTGCTGCCAAACATGTAAAAGTAGATTCCTTTAAAAAGACTTAAAAATTACCCAGTCTTCCCACTCTTGGATTTACACAGTACTAGTAAATTAACCAAAAGTTGGAAAGCCAAAAATTTAGCTATAAAAATTAAAAAATCTTATGTCATAAGGGTACACAAATATTGACTCAAGTTCAAAAACACCAGACTTGAAACAACGGCTCCTTTAAAAACAAGTAATTATAATTCAAAACAGAAGATAACAGTAGAACAATGGCTTTCAGGATATAGTACTTCTGAAAACAGAACTTGAAAATGGTTTAAGCATTCCTCGTTAGAAAGAAAATACCTTAAAACATGAAAACTGGATTTGGAGAGTTTTATTATTTCAGGAAGTTAACAATATTAGAGGGCCCACATACTAATAAACTCCAGAAACTACAACTAGAAAGAAATATCTGATTTGATAATGCTTAACAGTAGATGAAGCTAAAAGTAATTTACTCAAAGGTGTGGCAAACATTTAATGATGTCAATGTTTAACAAACTTTATGTGCAGCAGGCCGTCATAAACTTAACACAAAACCTAAAAGCAAGCATAACTGAAAACAAACTGTTAAAAAAAAGTTTAAAAATCAAGTTTTAGGTTACAAATGTACCCATCTGATCTATTTTGTTGTCCTATGAGAAAGTCCAGCAGATACAAGGAAGGCTGATGATGTGATTGTAAGAGAAAAACATTCCCTCCACTCCTTTCTGTGTGATCCTGGGCAAAAACTAGGAACTTTTAAGAATGGTATTCCCAATTAAAATATGAGGTAATGCTTAAGTCACAAGATTACTACAAGCTTCCAAAGAAGGAAACTTACATAAAGAGCCATGCATGCAGTATCACCAAAATGTTAGCTCCTTAAAGGTACAAATGCTTTGAACACCAAGCAAAAAAATAAAAAATTCAAAAAGATTCAGCTGGAAAAATGAGTAAAACACTTAAGTTGAAGAGAAGAAAAGCAAAGGCATAGAGCGGGGGAAGAGAAATACATCCTAATAAAGTTTAAAATTTGGTGACTTCCTCTAAAATGAGACACTGTGAGTACTTTGCTATGGGGGGGGGGGATTGTTTGAAGGAATGCGCATGAATATAGCCTAATAAAAATGATCTAGACTTCTTCACTTTGAGATCGAAGAGAGATGAGGTTTTAGGCAGCGGCTACAACAGCCACAGCAAACATACACCTCAAGTTTGAGCAACAAGGCTGGGGAATTCCACAGTACAGATCGCACAACTTCCAGCCCAGGAGATCGTAACTCACAATATTTGCAAACACAAGACATACTCCCAGCGTCTCTAGAAGAGGAAAACGTGTGGCCCGATCTGATCACCTTTACTCCTATAGCATCAGGGGATCAGCAACTCAAGGGTCTCCTGAAGTCTCCTTCTTGCAGTAACCAAAACCAACAACAGATACAAGAGTCAGGCAGATGAGCAAATATCCACTTAAATCTGACAAAATTGGACCAGAAAATGTGGCTCAGACGGATGCTCATAGTCGATTTTCTTAGTACTCCCCCCCCACCCCACCCCACCTCCACAGTCTAGAACCTAGCCCTAGTCAAAACCACCTTTTCTAGGGACAAATTATGTCATCAGATTTGAGGCTTACCCAGGATCATCATCGCCCCACATACTGCTGTATTGACTCATTCACTTATCCAATAAAAATTGATTGAGCAGCTAAAAAAAAAAAAAAAAAAAAAAAAAAACACACCAGCAAAAAAACAAAACCAGCTCGGGCATGGAGAAGTATGTTATTTTTATGGGGTCCCAAGACATAAAGAGGAACTAATGCAAGTCAGTATCTTACTTTTTTATTTTTTTTTTAACCCACTCCCTGACTCTCTAATGGAATTCAAGCTTCCTGAAGACAAGGGTTTTTCACCTGTTTTATTGGCTGGTCTAGCTCCACTGCCTGGGACATATTTCAGAGAAATATCTTACTCTTTATCGGGCTTTTCATCTGTTTTATTGGCTGCCTTATCCCACCGCCTGGGACATATTTGAGAGAGCAGTATCTTACTCTTCATCGGCTTTCAAACAATGAACACCACTTCAGGCACACATGCACTCGTGGACACACACACACACGCGTGCGCACACGCGTGTGCACACACGCCACACACGCACACGCGCGTGCACACCCCCCCCCTCAAAACCGACTTCCCGAGACCAGCACTGACGCGAAGCCCCGGGGAGCCTCCCGGGGCGCCCCGTCCAGGTCCCCCGCGCCGCCCGGCCAGGTGCGGGCGCGCCCGGCGCGACACTCACTCCGCAGCAGAGGCGACGTCTCCTTCTTGACGTACTTGCCCTGCACCTCGGCCGGCTTGGACACTTCATTCTTCGTCTTCTTTCGGGACAGCATCCTGGGGACGAGGCACCAGGCCGCGCCGAGCAACTCCCTAGGGCTCCCCGCCGGGCGCCGGCCGTCCCGGCCGCCCCCTCCGCCGGCGCCGCCGCCCCCTTCCCGCCCGGGCCGCCGCCGCCGCCTCGCCGCCGCCCGCCGTCCGCAGGGACTGCCGCATGTTCGCGGCGCTAAGCGCGCCGGCCGCCGCTCAGTCGCATGTCAGTTCCTTCCCGGAAGTCGGCCCGCGCCGCGCCGCTGCCCGAGGACCCCGCGCGGACAGGCCGGGGACGCCCGGCCGGGGCCATGGTCAGCCGCGCGCCGCCTAGTAACCGCTACCGGCGCCGCCTACGTCCCGTAAACTTTCCCTGCGGCCGCGGGGGATTCTGGGAAAGTCGACGCCGCGCCGGCCGCCGCCTCCCCTCCCCCCGCCGGGCTCGGGCGCGGCTCCCGCTGCGGGACTCCCCCCGCCCCCCCCACCCCGGTACCACCAACCCCCCTCCCGGTCGCGCCGCTAGCGGGCCGGTGCCCCTGGTTGGCCCGGGGAGCCGCGGCCGCCTTCACTGCTGCGGGAGAAGCAGGTATTGTGGAAGCGAGAGGAAGAAGGACGAAGCCCTCTTCTTCCCACAGATTTTTTTCCTCAGGACCTTGAGGGAGCAGGTGACGCCCTGTCCCCCCATCTTTGGGGTGATCCTCTGAGAGCCAGGACGTGTTTCTTGGAGTATTCTTGGACTGGCAAATTCAGGTGTCTGATCCCACAGTGCGCTTGGAGTTGGAGCACCACAACCCCCGGGCTAGTGCCGCGCCAGAAACACATAAATGCCTGTTTGGGGCACTAATATTGAACACATGAATTCGTCTGATACTGACTGAACAACTCCAAGGGCATTTTTCTGATAAAGGAAGCACGGAGGAAGAAAGGAAAATGGAGATAAATTTGCTGTCAGCCTATTATTTTTATCATCATTCACATTTATAGCCACATATTTCTCTTGGAGTTAAGTATTGTAACGTTAGAATTTTGAGGATTTTGAGCACTGAAGGTCAAGACCTTTTAATCTAAAATAAGCCTTTGTATAACTTAGTAGAGCAAAGGTACAGGATAATACTTGGAAAGGACGATGGGATCCATGCCATCGTGGCCAAATTAAGGCTTTGATACTAGAGAACGCTGTCCGTGAAATTGAACACGTCGTACTATAAGAGATGTAAAACAACGGAATGCAAGGAATTTTTTACTCATAAGATTAGGAACATTGTTAAATTTTGTTTTACCATAAGCAGGCAAACACCACATTTTACCTCGCATCTATCTCCATTTTTGTATGCTTTTCTCCCTTGGTACAGATATCTCACAAATTCATTCAATAACTAACAAATATTTACCGAGTACCCACTAGGTGCTCTAGATGTGGCAATAAATAAGACAAGAGAATCCCTTCCTGCTTTTGTGAGGGAAGAGATGCAATAAAGAAGACAAATAAAACATACTGTGTTACATAGTGGTAAGTGCTCAGTGCAAATACAAGGACAGGCTTTGTAATTTTAGACTGGGATAGAATGACCAGAAAAGACTCAGGAGCAGGAGACATCCCAGTTACTTGATAAAGTGGAAAAAAGTGGCATTGTGGTTATTTGGAGGAGGAATGTTCTAGGCAGAAAGAACAAGTGCAGAGTCACAACTGGATCTGAGGACCCGTACAAAGATCTACATAGCAGAGAAGGAGAGTAATGGAAAATGAAGTTAGAGAGGTAACAATCACTAGGGCACCTAAGTCCCTGCAGGGTGTTGTAGGGAATTTCAATTTAAGCAGAGGAGAAACATGATATAATGATATTTTAATGAGATTGCTTTGGATACTTTGTTGAGAATAAATGGGAGCGGGGGCGCTCCCTGGTGGCACAAGGGGTTAAGACACAGCACTAGCAAGCTATTGGCAATCACTTTAGTACAAATTCGACCCCTGGCCAGGGAGGTGACCCACATGGTTTAGCAGACCTCTCTCTCCTGTCTGGCCCACTGCTGCTCTTAGCAAAGTATTTCAGTAGATCTGCCTGTTCTGCTCCCCACTCTGTCTCTGGTGAATCCTCTCACCGCCCACCACTCCCCATCTCTGGCCTGGCTATTGCTGCTTAGACTCTAGGTAACAGCAGTGAAGATAAGTGGTCAGATTTGAGACACATTTTAAAGACAGCCAACAGGATTTACTGACAGATTGAATATGGAATTGAAAGAGAGAAATCAAGGATCACTCCTGTGGATATATAAATCTTAATCATGGAATAGAATGGAGTGCAATAGAATAACAGTGTACTCAGAGAAAAATTAGAAAAGCAGTTACTTGTTCTTGCAGTTCGCATAAAAGGGTCACACTCAGTGGTCCACAGTGGAAATGATGAAACAAATGAAGAGACAATGGGATTTTGTCACAAATAGGGTATGAAGGTGGTAGGTGGGGGAAAGCAGTGCCCAAAAGTGCCAGGTTTCTGCCTAGAGCTTACCTCAGCAGGATAAGAGAACAAAAGGATCTTAGGATCTTGTTAATAAAGCCAGCTCTTCACCTGGTGTTTTCCCAGAGACTGAAATACAGGGTTATCTTTCACATCTGTGGTGGAGAGAATCATGGAATTTTATGTTTGAAAAAGAACTCTGAGATTATCTAGGCTAATTTCATTTTATTCATACAGAAAACAAGTGTAGCAAACAAATATTTTGCCTCAGATTACATTCCTGCTCACTATCCAGGATTGCTATCAGAATTGATTTTCCAGTCCCATTTTGGGCCCTTTTCTCAGCCCATTAGACTCCCACTAATGTGAGTCAAGACCTTTTTACAGTTGTTTTAAAAGCTGTCCATGCGCCATACAAAGTACTCTCCTTTTCAGTGCTATTTCAATTCTTTGAATTACAGCAGAGAGAAAGCCTCAATTAGGTGCTCTTTTCAAGAGCTATAATTTGACTTTTTTTTATCAAGGAAGGTACACTGTAGAATCAACATTCTATGGGCAGCATTACCAGGAAGACATAGCAAATATGCAAGCTTTGATTCCACATTCTTAAATCTAGAGACTTTAAGTTCACTTCTGTTTTCTAAAAATGTCTGGACTTCTGGCTCCTTTTTTTAAATTAAGGAACTCAAATTTTATAGCTATGATTTTCAGACATTGCTTTTGATAAAGCTAATACTGTATTACATGGAAGAGATAATTTTTTTCCCTTGCAGTTATTCTCATAGGAGAAATTCAACATTCAAGGACTTAGTTATGTGTTACCAACTATTGTTACTAATTTAGCATTAAAATTTCTTTTAAAAGTGCCAGTAATGTCTGCGCTAACCTCATCACTCTTTGGGTGTTAGTTTTATCATGAAAATGAAAAAATTGGATTAATTGATTTCCAAAGTATCTTTTTTTTTTTTCTTATTTCCTGTGTTTTTTATTTTTTTTTTAAATAATAAATTTTATTTTTATATTCCCCATACAATTGCAGCCCCCCCCATTCTGACCCCAATCCCTCCCCTCCCACCCCCGCCCCCCAAAAAGTGTCTCTAGTTCATAGTTTTTTGTTGATTTTGATTTTCACTTTCTTATAGTTATTCATTTTCCTGGTCCCTTATTTAAGTTTTCTAGATTCCTGCTATGAGTGAGACCATCCGGTATTTTTCTTTTTCTTTTTGGCTTATTTCGCTGAGCATGATCCCTTCCAGCGCCATCCATGTTGCTGCAAATTGCATGTGTTTATCTTTTTTGAATGCTGAGTAATATTCCATGGTATATATGTACCACATCTTCTTGATCCAGTCATCTATTTTTGGGCATTTGGGCTGTTTCCAAAGCTTAGCTATTGTAAACAGTGCTGCAATAAACATAGGGGTGCAGGTGTTCTTTCCAAAGTATCTTTTAGCCCTACATTTTTGTGCCATTTAGGTAGAAGGAATATATAAAAATAAAGAGTTACCCTAGACGGATAATAGGCACATAGTTGATTTCTCATCTTATAAAATTTTTATTATGTTTTTATTTTAAAAAGTTACAAAGAGGGCCTCCCCAGTGGCGCAGTGGGTTGAGCGCAGCATTGTGAAGCTGTCTGCAGCCTCTGCAGCGTGGGTTTGGTTCCTGACCGGCCAAGGAGATACCCGCATGGCAGGCCTCTCCTGCCTCACCCGCTGCTCTCCTCAGCAGTGTTCTCTGTTGTCTGCCTGTTCTGCTCCCCACTCTGTCTCTGGTGAATTCTTCCACCCTCCCATGCCTCTGGCCTGTACCCCAGTTCTTGTATAAATAAATAAATCTGTAAAAACAAGTTACAAAGAAAGTGTTAAAATACAGCACTATGTGAAACCATCATTAGCAAAAAATTAAATTTCATGGCAAATTCTACTTTCAAAGATAACCAAGTTTCTTAAACTATCTTAAGCTATCTAAGCTTTGTCTTGCTAGATGCATTTTGAGAAACCTCCATACCGTCAGTAAGAGCTAGACCATTATATTCCCACCAGCAGTATATGATGGTTCCTTTTTCTCCACAGTCATGCCAACACTGGTTATGTCTAGTCTTTTTGATGGGCCATTTTCATAGGAAGAGGTGGTATTGTGGTTTTGATTTGCATTTTCTCATGATAAGTAATATTGAACATTTTTTCATGTGCCTTTAGGTGATCTGTGTATCTTATTTGGACAAGTGTCTGTTTAGATCTTCTGCCCATTTTTTGATTGGGTTGTGTCTTTTTGTTGAATGTATGCATTTTTTGTAGATCTTGGACTTTAGCCTCTTGTCAGATATATGCTATGCAAATACCTTCACTCATTTGGGTGTCGTTTTAATGACAGTGTCTTTTGAGTGCAGAAACTTTTTAGTTTGATGTTTTCCTGTGTTGGTTTTTTTTTAAATTTTTGCTTTTGTTTCCCTTGCCATTGGAGTCAAGTACCCAAAGACATCTCTGAAACCAAATAGGAATGTTTGCCTGTGTTCCTCTATGTATTCTGTGGTTTCAGGTCTTACATATAAGTTTTTAACCCATTTTGAGTTAATGTTTGTGTATTGTATGAAATAGAGGACTATTCTTTTGCATGTGACTGTCCAGTTTTCCCAACACCATTTGTTGAAGAGACTTCCCTTTCTCTGTTGTATACTTTTGGTTCCTTTGTCATAGATTAACTGTTCATATATGTGTGGGTTTATTTCTGGGCTCTTAATTCTATTCCATTGTTCTGTAGGTCTAGTTTTATTGCAAGACCATACTGTTTTGATTACGATAGCCTTACAATATCATTTGAAGTCTGGAAGGATGATATCACCATTCTTTTCTCTCAGGATTGCTTGGGTATTCATGGTCTTTTGTGGTTCCATCAATATCTCAGT